GAACAACCTCCCCAGGAACATTCTAGAGTCCCCAGTGCTGGAGGTTTTCAAGATGTGACTGGACAGGGTGCTAGATAATCTCATCTAGGCTCCCTTTCCCATGAAAGGCTGGAGCAGATGATCTTTCAAGGTCCCTTCCAGCCTGGGCTGTTCTATGATTCTATGATATCCTGGGTTCCACAGTTGATTAGTAAACACATGCAATACTGGAGGAGGAGCCTCCCCCCCTGCAGGCTGCATCACAGCTGGATTTGGAAGAATGTTAGCAGAAGCAGTAGCTGGAGGAGTGGCAGAAGCAGTAGCAAAAGGTGGGTTAGAAGAAAGCAGAGAGCTAAGGGTGTCCTCTATGCTGGGTATGTTCCCCATATCTGTATGCCAGTTTTGTGCACCTTACACTGATCAGGCTGCACACACCTCCCCTGGTGCACTTCCGAGCTGGGACTTGAACCCACTCAAACACAGAATATCCAGGATTTAGTAAAGGAGTTTTAACACTCACCAGTCAGCGCCTTCTATTCCCAAAGTTCACAGGTGAACTCACATGATGGCAGCAGCTGGACATTTGGAGAAGAGAGGGTCTGACATCCAGTGGTGGCTGTGTAGGGTCCCATCTGGGTTGCCAAACTGTTATGGAAATTCCACAGACGAGCCACCACGGTGGTTCTATATCCTGTTTCACACCCTTTTAAATCAGTGTTGGCCAGTTCTGTAGTTAGCTATTAGGCATGTTGAAATATGATTGTTACAGTTCATATACCACAGTCTATAGGCTTTGTTTCCCCTAGCTATTAATGTTTAAGCCGCTAGTGGTAAGTTTTGACTAACTTTTTCTGCAACAATGGTAATCCAACACAGCACTGAGAACTTCTCCAGCTCACACTGTTTCCAAACAAGTCTGATAAGCAGGTGATGGATTTCCAGTGATCTGACAGTTTTATAGGTATATTAGTTTCCAGCAAAATGCAATGTGATGTTGTATAAGTCTAGCATAGCTGGGTCATTAAACCAACAAAGGAAGAAGGCTCTTAGTGTGTGTAGGTGAGAAAGGGAGAAGATAACAGGTTTGCATGGCATATTTCATTGAAATGGGCATTGCTAACAGAATAGCTCTTTGTAAGGGCTTCAGAAGAACCTGTAGCCATAGAAAAGCTACACGGTGGGAGAAAAGGTGCCTGCAGCTAGTTCCCCTAGGGCAAGTGAGTGCCTGTACCCTCTTCCCTGCAAACACCGCTGCCCTTCTCACTGGCACTTTTTATTGTGGCTATTTGATTTATTTCTGGCAGAGAAGCCAGATTCAAATAGATGGCCCAGTGATCGCCCCTGAACCACAGTGGACCTGTCTTCTTTGGATTTGCATGTTGGTTTTAATGGAAATAAAACTAGCAGTTGCCCAGAACCATAGAGAAGTTAAGCTGTACATCACATCTAACGTGATGATCTAACATGGTCTACCAAGGAAGAAATGTCCTGTCCCATGTTTTAAGTTCTTCTTGGGGTGCCTACAGGAGTGTATCTCCTTCTGTTTGGGATCCTTGCATCCCCCAATGTCCAATCTGCTTCCCAACAGGGGTGAGAGAAGATATATATCATATTCTCCTTGGCATGCTTCCTGACATTTTGGTGTGATTTCCACAAAACCTTCTGTAGATCCACCCCTGACAAGGCACAAGGACCAGGCCAGACTGATAGCAGGGATGGGAGAGGTGGGGAAGAAGCACTGAAAGGCAGTGGTGTGGAAATCTGTAGGACGGGTGTCATGGTTTAACCCCAGCTGGCTGCTGATGGACAAGATGAATTGAGTCAGTTTTCAGAGATGAAAGCTACCCAGCTGGCTTCAGGCATTACTGAACAAGATTCAGTATATAAGCCTGGGGGAAAGCTGGCCAGGGCCACTGCTCAGGAAGATGCTCAGCATCAGTCGGTGGGTGGTGAGCAATTGCTATGTAAAACTGTATGTCATTGCTACTGTGGTTGCTGTATGCCACCAATATTACAGTAAAAAATACCCAGATTGATGAAAAATGAATTTTGATGAAACTGGGCAAAGTGCAGCGATGATAGAACTGGACAAAAGCAGCAGTGACAGAACTAGAATTAGCTTCAGATGGCAACTAAGCACCACACAGCCACTCGCTCAGTCCCCCTGGTGGGATGGGGAGATAATCAGAAGAGTAAAAGTGAGAAAACTCATGGGCTGAGACAAAGACAGTTTAATAAGCAAAGCAAAACAAGGAATTCATTCACTCCTTCCATGGGCAAGCAGGTGCTCAGCCATCTCCAGGACAGCAGGGCTCCGTCATGTGAAACAGTGACTTAGGAAGACGAACAGCATAACTTCAAACATCCCACTCCTCCTTCCCCCAGCTTTATACACTGAGCATGACACCAGATGGTACGGAATATCCTTCTGGTCAGCAGGGGTCAGCTGTCCCAGCTGTGTCCCCTTCCTGCTCCTCATGCACCCCCAGCCTGCCCACTGGTGGGGTGAGGTGAGGAGCAGAAAAGGCCTTGGCTCTGTGTAAGCACTGCTCAGCAGTAACTAAAACATCCCTGTGTTATCAACACTGGTCCCAGCACAAATCCAAAACATAACCCATACTAGCTACTGTGAAGAAAACTAACTGTGTCCCAGATGAAATCAGCACGATGGGGAAACAGAGCTTTCCTGGCCAGTGTGCACAGTACTGCAGAACTTCATGCAGTGGGTAGTTACAGGTGACAGGAAATTGGGGGACTTCCCTGCTGAGAGGTGACAAATTCAGGAAAAAGGTTTTAGAGCAAGTTGCTGGCAGCTTGTCTCAGTTGTGTAGGGGTTAATGGCACCTAAAACTCCACAATGCTCCTGAACAAAGTGAGATGCCAGAATAGTGGAAAAAGAAGATCTTAATGCACCTCATCTGTGACATCTGGGCTGTGATTCCCTGGAGTCTTACCCTCAGCAGAAAATCCTCTGGTTGAGTCACATCAGGAATAAATTTGGTTGGCATTTTGGCCTACTTTCTTGTTTCCTGTTGGGTGCAAGGGAGCAATTGTGGGGATGCAATACTGAAGCTGAGCAGTGCTTTAGGGGTTGAGGGTTTCCACTGATCTAGGTCCAAAACTGACCTTTGTCCTCTTTCTTCTTTCTCTTTTCTCATCTTTCTCTCTTCCTCCCTTTCTTTCTCTCTTCTTTCTCTTTCTCCTTTCCTCAACATTTCCCTCAGCCTCAAATAGGGAGCAGCCATGAGGGTTTTGACCTTCAGGACGTGCAGGCTTTGCCGCAGGGCTTCGCAGGCATGAGAACAGGGCACTAATGTTGGGAATACTAACGATGAAAGCTGGAGCACAGCTGCTGCTTCTCTGGAAATTAGTAAGTGTTGCGGTTAAATCCAGCAACTGGGACTCAGGGGTATTATGAGGATAGGCACAACAAAGATGCAGTAAGTGGATTATCTGAAAAGTCCTCCCCCCTCCCTCTTTCCTCTGAGTTTCCCATTTTTGTTTAAACTATTTTATACCATATTTTCAAACATGGCCTAAAAATGATGCAAGAGCACTGCCTTTAGAAATGGAAAATCATTTGTAAACTATGCTTACTGCTTGTCATTCAGAGCTCTTCAAACATATCTGATTTGATAGTTGACCTTGCAAATTGGGGAAGACAGAAGCAAGTCACAAAGATTCCTGTGGGTTAAACTATTTTCCAAGCTGATTATGAAGCTTAGAGCTCAAATGGTCTTTGCACAGAAACTCACAAAATACCTTTTCTTTTTGAAGGGTTATCACCACCTAATTCATTTTACCTCTGATTTCGTATTAGAGGTGTTGTTTACTCCTGCTGCTCAGAAAATGCTCAGGAAGTGTGATATTACGGTCCACCCCACAAGCCTGCTCCAAGATGCAGAGACTTGGCACAGCATAACACTGCTGCCTGTTTACCACAGCTGGGTTTTGTTATTGGATATTGTTTGAATGTTTAAGAAGGGCTTTCCCTGACATTTTATTTATTCCTCAATCTCAGTCGTGCTGCCAGTGATCCGGTGAAATTTGCATTGACACCATTGCCTGGCTGGTGCAAGATCTGCCCAAGAAATAGTTGCAGAACTATGAATGCAATGTTACGCACAGGGGCTTTTGCTGGCTTCCAGAGAGTTTTCATCAGTTGTTATTAATGATTTATCATTAACTACAGTTCTCTGGTTTACTTTGTCCTCTGCTTATTTTTACAGGGCAAGAGTGTCTGGGTCTAGATTAAAGTGCCAGAATGCAAAGGATAATAACAATTTTTCAGTAAGATTAAAAAGCAATTAATATCAAAGGGAAGTCATAGCAAAAATAAAAGGGACTTTAAAAATAGTACCTACTGGCTGAACTCATCTACACCTCACATTTGTGGCTAAAGCAGATGCCTGCTGGTATATGCTCTTGATACAGAAAGTGGAGCAAGAGGAGGCACAGGGAAGGGCAGCTGAAATGATCAAGGAGATCGTCTTAAGATCATCGGACAGGGAGCAAGGAGGCAGGCTGGGGCTCTGCACAGGAGGTGGCCAAGAAAGGGAATGTTGGGGACTTATAAAGCTTTGGCAACAACAGCCAAGCAGAAGAGCTGCTTGCAAGTATTGCAACATCAGCATGGGGGAAACTGGAGAAGACTAGTAAGAGATCGCTTTAAAGCAGATATTCTTTATACAGACAGTAGTGAGCTTTTTTTACCAGAAGCTACATGGGGCTGAGGGAGTCAGATGATACCAGAAAATTCATAAAGTGGTGAGGTGGACAATAGATCTATGGATGGATGGGACTAAAAGGACTAGGCCAGGACATACCCTTGAACATCCCTAGCACAGCAGCCCTAGACACAGTAGAGCAAGGAGGCAGTGAGCCACAGGAGGTGGCTAGGTTTATGCGCTCTCTCTTTTAGCCTCTCCTATTGTCTCTGCCCAGTGGAAGCTTATGTTCATGCTTACCCACTAACTCCAGCCCACTTCTGGTGGAGAGGCTTCTTTGCTTCAAAAAATTACTTTTTCTCATGAGCAGCCTTCTTGTCTGAAGAGTAATCAACAATCTCTTGAACACACTTTGACTTTTCTGCTCCTGTGTCAGAAATGTCCAGCCCAAATTCATCTTCCTCAGCCAAGGTGATTTCCACTAGGTCACAACCATCCCAGACAAGATCTTTCATGCAACAGGAACTGGCTGTGAGACCAGTGTGGCCACACAGCTCTGTGATATGTACTTCAGTGCTGCCCATGGTAAGAGATGGGAATTCTGCCGTAGATGAAGATGGAGGCAAAGCTTTGTTTGTAAGTGGTGGAGCCAGGGAACACTCTGAAACTCTCGTCGTGCATCACAGCAGCCGCCCAGCCTGTGACACTCCCAGAACGGGGCAGCTGCAGCAGTGAGATTCACCAGTGGGGAGTTGGGACAGCTCAGGACAGGACAGAACAGAACAGAACATCAGCAACTTATAGCTGTGCACCTCTGGGTACACTGAGTGCCTGCCTGAAGTGAGTACCCAGGGCATCAGGAGTCAGATGGCCTTTGGCGCCAGACTGTGATCTTCTATTCAGTGAGCTGAATTAATTATCATGGGAGATTCAGGCACAGAAGGCAGGGAGTGCAGGTAAATGGCTGAATCAGAGGGATTTAACCTAACCTAACCTAGGGGGATGGGGACATGCATATCTTTGCTATGGATAGGGCCAGGCCACCATTCCAGGAGGTCCTGACCACCTAGTGATGCATGCCAGGCAAGCAAATACACACCAGCTTTGACCCAGCTAAACACAGCTCTCACAGATGCAGTGGGGATGCTGTGCCCAGAAAACAGGCAGCTTTGCTGCTCAGTGGAGGTGTACTTTAAAGCTTCTTTTTTATTAACCCTGATGCCTGCCAATCTGTATGAAGTAAAGATCTGTAAGAACAGCATTACATATTTTCATATTTATTTTTCCTCCACTGATTTCCAATTTGCTGCTTCTCCCTCCCCCATCAGGCTGACAACCCCAAAACTGTATTGTATTCTCCATCTTATATATCAGGCACCAGGTGAAAAAGATCTGTAAACCAAATGCAGACGCTGTGCAAGCGCAGTGGAGGGAACAATGTAATTCCATAGAGCTTTTATTATCATTCCTCGTGAAAGCTCTGTACTTCATGACATAAACCTGTGACCACAACCTTTTCAAACATGGGCTACTTTAGAGAGTTATTACTTAGGTGAGGAAGTAAGATTGATTTGTACAATATCATCATGCTATGATAACATTGATTCCATTACCAGTATTTATTTTCTAAGCTTTTCCATAAACAGGTAATTTACCTTTTTAAACTACCATAGCGAATGGAAGGGCTATGTTCAATGCCACATCTGCACCTGTACTTGGGCTCCCCCTTCTCCCCAGCATGGCATACACCCCCTGCCCAAACTCCATTGAGCATTTCACAGTATTCTTTCAGATGTGTAATGCTCTGCATTTTACAATAATGAGGTAATTTTCTGATTTAGTAAGGAAAAACGAAAATGCACTAAAACATGTTTTTGTGTGCTCCTAAAAACCTACTTAAAATTGATTGAACAGACGTTTAAACACCAATGCAAGGACCTCGAGCGCTCTTCTCCAACTCTGTCAAAGGATTAACAGAGACCACCACTAGGCTGAGACTTTGTATGATGTTATATTGATTTTTTTCTTCAACTGAGCTATATATTTCCCAACGCCAGCGTTTCTAATGCAAATGCTGCAGCCTTTCACTGTAGCAACTAAGAGGAGCAATGCTATGATTTTAACAAAGCTGCCAGATTAAGTGACTGCATGGTTACACCATGATATTAATACACGTTCTTAACTGTCAATTAGTTAACTGACTAATAAAAAGAGCCTAGCTTATAGGATTTTACTAATGAATATAATGCTTTGTTTCTGGGCAAAACTTATGCTTTGGATATATAATTAGAAAAAGCCCCCCTCTCTCTCCCCCATCGAGAGAGCATGTGCAGCTGAATAAAGGAGCTCATTATACCTGTGAGGGGTCAAAGTCTGTGGATCTGTAGCTTATGGTATTATGACAGATTACAAAATCACTCTATTATGTTAGTCAATCTGTTTCCAAGCACAAGCTAGCAGGGAGCAGGGCACTAGAACCTCCCGAGCAGGGCGCCCGTTGGCTTTCCCCGGCAGTCTCATGATGGGTCAGCTGGCGGTGACACCACCTCTGACAGCTCACATGTCAGACCTTCCCTGCCTGACTTCTGCCTTTGTTATCGCAGAGCCTCTTCACCGGCAATCAATCCCTGCTTCAGGTTGCAAAGAGCTCCCAGTAAGAGCTGAAACAAATTTGAAATCAGTGGGTAGCCATCACTTGTGCTAATGAAAGGGAAAAGCGGAGCACTTGTGCTCCAGCTGACCTTTCTCAGGCTCTCACCTTACAGAAAAAACCCAAATTTAAAAGTTTGTAAGTGGAGAGTGGAGCAGCTAAACAGCAACAGCTGGGAGCGAAAACACTGGGTTCAGCTTTAGTGCATGTGTCAGTTTAAAGGGAAAAAGTAGTTCATATGTGGGATAAAGAGATTTCAAACATGATAGAGAGCCTAAGAAATATTTGACTTTCCTAATCTTTCAGGGAAATTACTCTGCTGCAAAGTCTTATTTGGTCAACTCACCACGAAACCCCTTGGTACCAAGGGAAAGAAAGTCCATTTGTATTTGAGATTCACAGCAGCAGTCAGCATCATGGGCCCATACATTTCTGATGGACTACACCTTTCCAAGATCCTAGTGAAGATGTGTGGTTCGACCATTGCCTTGGGCTGGTTATTTCACCTCTGCATCAGTTTGGCAGCTGCACCAGGGCCAGGAGAGCCCCAGGGCTGCCGGCATGGCACAGAAAGACCAAAGGGAAATAAACCAGGACCAGCAGGCTGGCTTAGGTAGCCTCCAGGGACTGGGACTAACAAAACCACATTTGTGCCCCATGGTCAATTGACTGCGGTGCCAAGGAAGATGCAAGGTCTGACCAAAGCTTTCCCTGCAGCAGCGTCTTCTATGGGCTCCGTTATGTGGGATTTTGACATGTCTAACCAATGCTGAGGTCAGGCTGCAGCCTAAGAGGCGATTTCAAGGTAGTTTCTCTCCATTCCTCAGCTGCCCTTATCATGAAACTTGTAGGAACCCATTTCTCTTTGCATGTTTCCCCCTCAAGTCCAGTTTGATTAAGATTTGCAAAGAGATTCAAAAGCGACAAGGGTGTAATCTGCAGTCACACCCTGTAAACACATAAGCTTGCTTTCCCCAGGAAGCCAAGCTCAGAAATGTGGTTTCCCTCACTGAGGGCTTTTTTTGATGAAATACCATGTTGAGAACACACTTTTAACCATCCCATGTTTATAACAGGCACCAAGTGTCACACAGCAGCAGCAGCTTCTCTCACGGTTAGAAGGCGACCTGGTTAGGGCTGGCCCCAAAAAGGAGGAGTGCTGCCATGCAGGTGCCCCCATGCTCACCCTGGATTGGGGTCAGCAAGAATTTAAGGAGCTATTTTGCTCTCCTCAAACAGACACAGAGCCCTGGCTGCTGCACAGTGGACTGCCCAGACCTCCAAGGACCACAGCTCGAGCTTCAGCACCAAACCCACGCCATGTCCCTCCTGGATACACCTGTGTTTGGAGACAGAAATACATCAGGAGAAGAAGCCACAGCCCTTGTTGTTTTCAGTACCCCTCCAAATTACCTGGAAAAGCTCTGAAGTAAAATACAGGGTGAAAAATTAAAGTAGGAAATGTCTGTCTTTCTCTTTGAACCATCAGCTCAGGTAAGAAGAGGGAGTATTTCCCATAATTGAGCTTTGCTGTAATAACAAGACCTGAAGGAAACTTCTCCTTTACCAGGGAGCAGTCTTCCCTGGCGAACACCAGGAAGTCAAAATTGGCATATGCAGAGCAAAGTGAAATTTTTAATAAAAATTCCCAGATTTTTAGAAAATACGGGGGATTCCTATGAATCATCTCAAAGATGGATAGTCTGTCAGTCATTTTCTCTTGGAGGTAATCTCTGCTGTATTTCAGGAGCTAGCCTTTCTTCTCAAATACATTCACATACATTTATCCCATTTATTTGCAGAACACAAGCATTACTGCTCACACGAACATGTTGTTAATCGCCAGAGGCTGAATCCAGGCATGGCAAAAGTCAGTCCGTGTCCCCGGAGATCAGTACAGCGACATTAGTTTACACTGGGCAACGCTTGGGCCCATCCACTCTGCTGTATCTGGCTAGCAGCCAAGGACTTCATGACTTCTATGTGTTTCAACAAAAGGCGCCGAAAAGAGCTTTTGATATGGTTATTTGGTAAAGGAGATCAAACGTTTCCTCTTTGCATTAATCCTTTTCTAGTTTCCAGTATATAAACTGATCTTTTAAAAAGCCCTCATTCTCCAGGTGTTCAGGCACATGGTTTTAGAACTAGTTATTTGGGGTGTACATGCTACAGGGGCAACTGCAGAAGAGGAATGGCAAAGGATTAGGAAATCACAACCAGCATAAGGAACAGGGACTGAAAATGATGACTCCTACCCCTTGTGCAGGCACAGTGGACACGGGCTCCTAGGTCTAGAGGTGACCCACTATGGCAGATTGTTATGTTCTTCAATCAGCATTGCTTTTATGCAGTTGTCACCCCAAAGCTCATCCCTGTGAAGCTACAGATGCTCAGGATGTGTGTTTCAATGCAAGAAACGTATCAAAGCATCCCCATTGCAGATGACCAGTGCTGGGCTGCTCTGCTGGCCAGGACCCTGCCTGACTGTTCCCATGTTCATGCCATATGGGTTTGCTGCGCTGTGCAGGGAGCCGGTGGCTTTCCTCCTCCTGGAGCATCCCTCCTGGTGTGGGACAAGGGCAAATCTTGAGTGGGTCCCTCTCAAACTGGTAGGTGCAGGAGGGTTTGCCCAACGTCAGGAGAGGCTGAATTAATTTGCCCACCACTTGACACTTGTTTTCTGACCTTTGCAGCCCCTTTGTGAGCCCAAGACAGCACTTGTTTCTATGAGCATGGCTATTGTACATGTGCCAGGCTTCACTGCTGTTCTTGAAAGCTGCCCCCAAAATGCGATTTGCTTCTAAGAAATAACAAAAGCCAGGCAGGCAGTCATTACTCTCTTCATCTTTCCTGAGGCTGTGATTTCTTTTTAAGTGACCCCTAATACATTTTCCCATTAAAGCAACGTCATTTACCAGTGTCATTTAATTAGTC